AACGATGAATGATAAATGCGTATTAATAATTGATTCTAGACAAATGTACATTGAATGGCACTAAGTTTTGACTATTTTGATCTCATGACTAAAACTGAGCGAAAACATACATTGACTAAATTAAGATATTCTACTTATTGACGTAGAAACTAAACACAGTATTGTTTCCCTCACTTTTGAGGAGGAACGACAAAATATGCCATATAACTGATTTCATTCAAAAAATATGTAAGCGCTGAATAATGACAGTTATAAACCAGTATATTTTCAAAATCAAAATCATCTACGCTCTATGCCAGGAATATATTGGGCGAGGGTATCCCTTGGGTGCCGTTAATTCCCTGATGATTTGCGTCTCATGCAACACTGCCATCAGTTCATAAAGGATTATGTTCCGGACAAGTTAGACCCTAAGTACCGGCATGCTCGCCGGTGACCCCAGAGAGCAGAAGTAAAGACGCGTATCCCATTCTAAGTTCTAAGAGCAAATGTACGGGGAAATGGGGTATAATTATCGGGGTTCAGAGCGTATAAATATACTAACATCAAAAATTTGAGATATACTCTCCCCCTCCCACTACATCCTCCAACCCCCGGCGTCTGACCCCTATGAAAAAATTTGCTTAAATTGATCAGGAGTCTCTGAAACATCAAAAAGACGGAGTTTGAGCGATTTTTATTTGCATTCTTTTAGCTTTTTTTGCCACAAGTTTGTTTATGGGTAGTTTATGAGTTAAAACCCCAAAAACGGAAACCACGTAAGACGCAGGAGCTTCTGAAACGTCAAAAAACCAAATTGAGCGTTTTTTCGTGTTTTTTGTCTAGCTCCGCCGCCACTGAACCGATTTCAAAATCTGCAAAGCTTTTAGGAGGATAGACAGACAGACCGACCGACGAAAAAGATTGACATGGATTGACATCCAAAAAATATATTTTATTTTGCCAGTAGGCATAAAACTCTCACTAATATCTTAAATTGCCGATTGTATATTCTTTTTTTCTGCCTTTAAACATGGTGATTGTATCCGCCATTAAAGTAAATGTATGCGATGTTAAACGATTGCATGTGTAATACCGTTAAATGAATCAGTATTTTATGGTATCACTCACTTAGCTGTAATTTTGCTCATCGTTCACGTCGTATCATCAATCTATGCGTTTGCTTCAATAATCGTAAAAGTTTATGGAATCATTAGATGCACAAGTGAAACAGATGAATTGAGTTATATGATTCTAACGAAATCATACTAGGTAGAAGCAGCCAGTCAAAGATTTGTTTGTCTCTGAATTCTCTCAGTCTGTAGTAAGGAGGCAGTTTTTGGACTGTTCTGTCATTAGATCCCTATTTTTAGTGTTATTATTAAAAAAATGCAAGTGTTTGCAGATAATAGGCTAATGGACACTTTTTTAGGGCCGTATCGTCAGTCGTTCCTACATTTGCAGGTCACCCTTATGACCTCCTTGATTTTCATAGTTTTTCCTGTCCTACAATTATTGCAGAAATAACTGATGATACGACCATTAAGTAGGTCTTAAATAATTAATATTTGTTCTATCAGACCAAAGAAATAATACTAGATTTTTTTAGACACGCGAACACGCTGTCCGCCATGTTTAGCCCATGTGCTATGACGTCATACCATTTGTAAACAACAGTTGACAGCAGCATAACCTCTAAAACTTTTAAACATGTAAACATGACTTCTACGAGTTTACATGAAAAATAGAGTAATTACCGTTATTTTATCGACAGAGATTGTGAAAATGCACCGACTAAAACCCCAGGAAAATAAATACGCGCAACACCTAGCTAAGACTTGCTCAAAGGGATCCCGAATCTTCATTGACTGTAACTCAAATTTATATCACTGTGATGATGAAATTATTCAGATTCTATGACGCATAAATTCTGAAAAGGAGATTATGTAAGTGTATTAGTTATTCTGTATTATATATATATATATATATAACAAGTAGGAAAATAATGGGCAAAATCCGCAAAAAGGAGGAAAGTGGACTCGAGCAGAAAAGCAGAAAATAGGATAGGTAACCCGAGCGATACGTATTTCTGCTGGTTGGCTTCATCCGGCCCGTTGTTGTGGACTTCGTGTGTCGTTTTTTTTTCCTCCAACTTCGTTTCCTCAGGTTACACCCGTATCCGGATGTGTGGGCATGTGTATCTACTTTTGTGCATTCATTTCGGGCCTGATGAAGCCAACCAGCAGAAATACCTATCCTATTTTCTGCTCGAATCCACGTTCCTCCTTTTTGCAGATTTTGCCATTATTTTCCTACTTGTTGTTATATACCTTTCTCCGCATGATCATATTCTCTTTGTAGATCCTTTGGGCTTGAAGTACCACAGCAAGTGGCTATAACCGGCCGCGTGGTGGTGGTTAGACGTCTCCTTGAAAATTCGAGGTCGTATAGCCATTTTATACTACAATGTGTAGGTTGGCTCTTGTTGTGGACTTCGTGTATGGTTTTTTTTCCTCCAACTTCGTTTCCTCAGGTTACACCCGTATCCGGATGTGTCGGCATGTGTATCTACTTTTGTAGTTTCATATGTGCATTCATTTCGGGCCTGATGAAGCCAACAAGCAGAAATACGTATCTCTCGGGTTACCTATCCTATTTTCTGCACGAATCCACTTTCCTCCTTTTTGCGGATTTTGCCCATTATTTTCCTACTTGTTGTTATATACCTTTCTCCGCATGATCATATTCTCTTTGTGTATATAGATATATATATGAGCAATAGTCATTGTCATTGTCAACGATCAGTTGGGCAAAAAATACAATTAATTGTTAATTAGGAAATTGGCAAACTTTTTAGGCTTTAGTTAACTCTTTTGACGGTAATCTCGAGCTTTCGGCAATTCTCTATGAAGCCTTCATCAGGAGCTGAAAACACAGTTATGATTGGTTGCTAGCAACATCAATTTTCGGCAAATTGTTGGTTTCGGCTTTCACGAATCCAACGTCCATAGTTATTTCTTCAATAAAATGAGAAAATAACAACTTTTTACATCGATTGAGATGTCAGTTTTCGAATTACCGTACCCATATAACTTAAACTCCTTTGTGTCATACGATACTATCATCAACTAAGAGTGCATTTTGCGCGGCAACCAGTCTGTTTCGCTATATGTTTTTGGTTTTTAACTTAAAAAGTAGTCATCGACCTTTGTGCCCTTGTGACTTTTGACCGAAACGCTTTGAAAAGGAACATTCAAAATTGGTCCATGTTCGTTGTTTTTTGGTACTTTTTTGTAGATTAGAGTGACTGTTCCTAAACGCTGTCCCATTGTATTTATAGTCAAAATGATAAATCTGACACTTATTTTTTACTTTTCAGGTAAGCATCGAGTCCATGTTCTTGTCTTTAACCTCTCTTCCATGATCGAAGATATAAAAATGTTGGTAAGCTTTCACATATATACGCAATAACACATCAATATTTTTTCTATATTTGAAGGCCTTGGTCAAGTTCAATCGTATCTGCATAATATCGCCCCGAGGCTTCAAAAATGTTATAGGATGACTCGACATCGGGAAAATGATATTATAACATGTCTTCGTAAGGATATTAAATTTTTCCACCATAAATTATATATATATATCAGAGTAATAACATTTGAAAAGCTATAAGTAATTAGTTTGGTATGTGTAAGTGGTTGTTTCTTGTTTGTACTAAATATTCATAGATTCAGAGAGGTTGATGTCGCTGTCGCCTTCCTCATTCGCCTTTGCCATTTTCGCCTGTATATTTTGCTAAACCTATACAAGGCGATTCGTCGTAATTTTGATGGATATGATTTATTGTCCAACAGTTATCCATTTACATTAAATAATCAATTTAAGTACTAATAACCCATCCTAGCTTCTACACTAAGGAAAGATATGAATGTATCTCAATGACAGCTAACTCTATTGAGATTTTTACACATAACATGCACAGGTGACTTGATCAAAACGCAGTAGCTTTAATTTGATGTATGTACTATTCGATAGATGACTCTCATATCAAATCAAACTAGACTCAAAGATGACACCAAGAATTTTTACAATAGAAATTATGGTCAATGCGATCCTGCGTCTTACTCTAATATACAAGTGCATATGACAAAAAAGCATACAAAAATTGCCTCTACATACTGTAATCTTCATAGACGATGCAACTATTATACGCATTTCTCATTGGTTTACATTAACTAACTTTTCTGTATGTAAGAAAAACCTATTTTGGATAGGTCAGGAAGGATGCCACTTATAACATGCTCGAGCACCGGAGTTAAACCCTCTAGGTTATTCCATAGAGCATGTGAGGTTATTAGTCAGTTTGCACTACTGACGGAAAAATTTGAAAGATCGGAGAATGGCGGATTGTAACTCAATAGTAAATGACGAGTAGTATATTTGTCACATGTCACGATATTTTGAACAGTTTTTGGACATTGCAAATTTTCACAGCTGTTTTTATTTTTGCTTATTGATGTTTTTTTGAAAATGTACTCTGAATCTTCGAAATGACGAATTCTTGAAAGTCGTTTTGGAATAGTTTTTGTTTTTGCTTCATGTTTTGTAAAATAATGTGCATCGAATACATATGATTCAAAAAATCTAATTGGTCACTTAAATTCACTTCTGACATCATTTCGCACAAAATCACCCTCTAGAAGAAGAAACGGTTGCTTGGTCGATCATCGATATTACCGAAGGAACCGGTCCTCATTAGAGCACCAACACCAGATATCGTGTTGCCAATAACAGCACAAGACTCGATAAACATTGTTGCCGCTTCCTCTCATTTATTATATTATTAGTGATGTCTTATATGGTTGGATATATCCTCTCATGCAGAACACATTTCATTACACTGCATTCCAATCTGTTTATAACCCCACTTTTTATCTTGAAAGTTGTCCCGCTCACATGGATTCTTGTCGCATATTTTCGCTAATTTTTATTTTAATGGTATACCGTTAGTTTTTATTTACTATAGACAAGATTTCCCACGGTCGACCCTGAGGTTTGAAAGAAGATGGATGACAAATGACAGTGTAAAGGAAAATGGGGCGGCTAGATTGATTCTGCAAAAAAAATTTCTAATTTATTACAATCTACAACGCGACATCGGAATATTTTTGAATTTACCTTAAATAAGTATTTTAGGAGCAAGATAATAGTTAATCATAATTTGAATTCATACAAGATATGAACTGAATAGAAAACACAAGCAAATTGCCTCTTCCGCTTGGCTAGCACATACGCACTCATGTCCAAATTTTTTAAGACTATTTTGCATAAACGAGACTGAATTTCATCGAGACAGCGCTGATATTCATCCTGAATGCTAAGGGCTGCATGATGATATGAAATTTGATGTCAAATAGGAACCTGGCAAAGTAGATGATGCGTTTATTGACATAACCTACAAATATAATATATATATATATATATATATATACAGTAATACCCCGACTTACGCTACCCCGTTTTACGCGAATTCGGAGATACGCGGTTTTTCATTTTGATTGCCGCGCGCAGCGCGCATCGGCTCTCTCGCTCCGCGCGCGCATCGGCTCTCTCGCTCCGCGCGCGCATCGGCTCTCTCGCTCCGCGCGCGCATCGGCTCTCTCGCTCCGCCCACTCAGTGTTCAATTTGCATCAGGTTTAAACGTGTTTCGCGTGCAATTGTTTTACGTGCGCAGTGCGTTTTACTTATAATCTCTAATTATGTCGTCTAAAAGAACAAAAAATGAGTCATTTGAGCCTAACAAGAAAAGAAAAACACTGTCTTTGGAGTGTAAACTGAATATAATTAAAGACTTTGAAGCAAAAATGAAAATTTGTGAATTGGCGAAGAAATTTGACCTTCCGGAATCAACAGTCCGAACGGTTGTAAAAGGTAAAGAAAAAATTATGAACGCTGTGAAAGACTCTCAATCTTTGAATTCAAGTATCATCCGTAAGCGTCACGGTATTATCGCACAGATGGAAACATTGCTACAGTCATGGTGTGATAATCAAGTAAGAGTGAAAAATTGTCCTGTTGATCAAAATACAGTGTGCTTTCAAGCAAAGCAGATTTTTGAAAAACTAAAAGAAGAAGCTGGGGAGGCGGCTGAAAATGAAGTGTTTAAAGCTAGTAACGGCTGGTTCAGCCGATTTAAGAGTCGTTGTAATTGGCATAGCATCGCAGAGAGTGGAGAAGCGGCAAGCGCTGATAAAGAAGCTGCATCTCTCTATCCAGAAAAACTCAAAACAATGATAGATGAAGGTGGCTACACTAGCCAAACTATTTTCAACGTAGATGAAACAGGTCTTTTTTGGAAGAAAATGCCTAAAAGAACTTTTATTGCGCGTGAAGAGAAAACTTTTCCAGGTTTTAAAGCCGCCAAGGATCGATTAACAGTGATGGTTGGTGCGAATGCAGCTGGAGATTGTAAATTAAAACCTCTCTTAGTTTATCGCTCAGAAAATCCAAGGGCCTTAAAAAATAAATCCAAAGCTGGTTTGCCTGTCATTTGGAAGTCTAATGCGAAAGCTTGGGTGACAGCTTCTCTTTTTGAAGACTGGTTTGGCCATCATTTTATTCCTGAAGTCGAACGTTACTGCCGATTAAAAGAAATCCCATTTAAAGTGATGCTACTAATTGACAATGCACCAGGTCATCCTCCCGCAACTCTAATTAATTTCGATCCACGTGTGGAAGTTGTATTTTTGCCACCAAACACTACCAGCTTGCTTCAACCAATGGACCAGGGAGTCATTAAAACATTTAAAGCTTACTACACAAGGCGGTCATTTGCACATCTACATGAAGCTATGAGACAAAACAATGAGCTTTCTGTTAAAGACTTTTGGAAGCAATTCAATGTTTTAGATGCTGTAAGAATTATTGGACAATCTTGGAATGAGGTTTCACAAAAAACTCTCAATGGTGTCTGGAAAAAACTGTGTCCATTTTTTTTCACCTCTGAAACTCAAGGAGAAACCATTTCAGATCCTGAACAAATCGATAGCATAATAGAAGAAGTGGTCGATATCGCCAAGCAATTAAATTTAGAGGTCGATAATGATGACGTTCAAGAATTGCTAGATTCACACAATCAAGAGCTAACAATTGACGAGGTTATAGAAATGCGTAAGTATGAGCAAGACATTGAACAAACTGATTCGCTAGACCCAGTTGAATCGGTAAATCAAATGACAATTGCAAACTTAACAGAAGGACTCAATTCAATTGAAAAGGGGTTACAAATTTTAGAAAAAATTGATTCTAATGAAGAACGCGTGTCTACTACAAAACGAGGGATAAAAAAATTACTGGTATGCTACGAGGAAATTTTACGTGAAAAGAAGAAAAATTTAACTCGTCAGGCAACATTGTTAGAATATATAAAGCCTTCGACATCAAAATAACTTCGGTTTAGCTTACTTTATTCATAACAATGTAATTTTTTTTATTATCCTACACTTTATTAAACATTTTTCTTCTAAATTATTGTTTTCTTTAAACTCTGGTCCCGATTAAACAAACTTTATATGTATTTATATGCAACATTGAACCCCGACTTACGCGAATTCGACTTACACGGCAACCGTTCGGACCCACCTATCGCGTAAGTCCGGGGTATTACTGTATATATATATATATATATATATATGTCGTCCGACAAGTGTCTGTATGCTGCGTTGCCGAATCATGGAAACAGTCGTGTAGATGTGATCACATCCCTTGTAATTTAACTAACCTTACATAGGTTGACGGCTGTCGCATACAAATTTGATATCAAATATCTTTTCATGCGGCCCAAAACTGACAAAGAAATGTATTGAATAGTTTAAAAGTACGTACAAGATCTGATCTGAAAGGCACTGACGGGAACAACACTTTATGCAAGTACAAGAAATAATAGCTCAGTTCGTCAAATCGTTAATATTTGTGATAAATCGAAAGCTCAAAAGATTTAATTTGTTTTGTAATGTTCTTGTTCATTTCATAATTTGAAACACAAACAAGTACATTTTTAAAAAGTACTGCATTAACTTGAAAGAATAAAGCTTTAATTGTGATATCAAATTTCAAAATCCATCAAGCCGTTTGGACTGTAGCCTGTGAAATAGGAATTTTCACTTCGGTCAGGCGGATGGGAAACTGAACACTTCCGCGCCGGATGCCCAAAATATTAAAATCGATTAAGCCATATAGAGATTTTTTAAAAATACGTTATTTTTATTTTATATTTTAATATGCCCAATGTTTCTCACATTCCAAGACAAACCTAGAGACACTGCATATGTCAGAATCCATCGAGTCATTTAAGCTGTAAGAAATTTCAACCAGTCATTTTGATTTTATAAAATCTTACGCGCACTGCAAACCGAAACGAACAACACCTTATGTGCCAAAATCCATCAAGCGGTTTGTACTATATTCCGTAAAATAGTATACACGTAAAAATATAACCTTCGTTCTGCGGCAGTTATGTAGAAAGACTCTTGACACAGGAATACTCGCCTGACAGATACATTAAAGTCCGCAGTCTGCTCGTATTATTTGAAGCAACATTGTAAACAGTTGAAAGTACTATATCAAGTACAAAAAGTACTGACCGGAACAACAAGTAACAGCTCAGTAGAGCAGAGCAGTTCGTCGATGCTTGACACCCTATAATAAATCTAAAGCTAAAGCTAACGTTTTTGTTCAATATCTATGATTTGTCACATAGAAAAGATACTTTACAAAGTACCCAACACACATTTATAGCTAGTTATAATTACATTAATTCAAAATAAGTTGAAAAAATTGCATGACCAGTTTAAAAACTGTTATATTTATTCCCGGCCTTTTGCCTTTTTTCCGAAGTGAAGAATAAAACCAAAGTAATCTTGAAGTCAATATGAGGTCGATGAGTCATTTATTGCCAGTAGGTTGGACATAAGCAGCTGCTTTTGAATGTTGCCCTATCAAATCACTTGAATTATACCCAAATTTAACAATAAGGAAAACATACTATGTCAATCTGATTGCGCAGTTGGTAACGTACCGGTTAAAAATACGATTAGCTGGTGATGCACTCTTGTTTATAACTAAGTCTGTTAAAGAAATGGCTTCCATTTGTGGTAGTGATTGTAGTATAATGATTTCGAACTTAGATTTTTAGTCACTAGTAAACGAAAAATTCGCGCATAGGAAAATTTATAGTCAAATGTGACCACACTAGTCACTCAAAATTCAGCGGTGCGAACTAACGAATTTTGTTAACATTTTTAATTAGACACTCTGATCCGAACATAACCTCAGATTATATGAACGCTTTGTTTCAAGTCGTATGGTTGTTAATTATTTGCAAAATAATGGGCTGTCGGGTGATTCAGGTGTTTTTGGGAAAAGTAACATAATATGCAAACAGTAAGTTACTGTTCAGGTTACAATATTAAAAAGAGAAAATATCAAATGTGGCCTTTTTGAGAAGGAACAATAGCACCGAATAGGCCGAAATGGGATTTTTAACCTTATAGTTAAGTTTCCCCCTTTTAGGAAAAATAATTTCTTAAAGATTTTATTTGTGTACAAATAATTTGACCTTGAATAATTTTTTAAATTGATGTATGTAACATGTATCTATTAGTTTCCCATATGTGAGATGTTTTGGAATCATGCAACAATCCCACTTCGTATGGGACAGGAAGAAATTGTTGATAAGGATCATCCTCTCTTTTTAAATTACAGTCGTTGCCAGAGAGAGAGATAGAGAGAGAGAGAGAGAGAGAGAGATGGACATTTTGGGGTGTGTGCATTAGTAGCGTTTGGTGTTTGATTTTCATAGTTTTCTGGTTAATACATTGTTGCTCTGTGCGGTTTTTAAAACCCCGTATTTAGCTTAATACAAAGAAAAAAAGGTAGGTTATAAAAGATTTCACAGAGGAGAAAAAATCACTTCAAAATTACATTCTGTATTATAGTCCGAATATTGAACGGAACGCATCATTGCTGCAATAGATTTATTCCAGCAAGGGCAGGAAACAAAATAATGACAACATATTTGCAAGTAATTATGAATTAAGACTCTTCTACCGACACGTTCGTAAAAATATTAATGTATCCTTCAAATTTAGTGTCAATGTCGAAATCTAGACATACATTTACTAAACGACTCCTTTGAACCTCATGGTATACATATTAATTTGTTTTTTGCCAATCCATGTTGCAAGAAATCTTTATTGATCATAAATAAGATAATTTTCACTTACCAATATTCCCAAAAAAAACTGACGATTTTATGTTTTATTTTCATTATTATATTATAAATATTATAACAAAATGCTAGTTGGGTAGTAGTACTTGACTGATAGAGGCATTAAAGTTAACAGATTGCTGGTATTCTTTGAAGGAGCATTGTAAACAGTTGAAAGCGTCACATCAAGTACAAAAAGGTTTTGACCGGAACAGCACCGGGTGCAAGTACAAGAACTAACAGCGCAGTAAAGAGCAGAGCAGTTCCTCGATCCAGCAGCGCTCGCACCGTTCGTTCGCCGTCAAGGTCATTCGAGGCCGTCTCGCGACTTTGCAACGACGGCAATGCGGCGGCGGCGTTGCCGCGTCTACGCTCGTCCTCATCTTCTCTCGAGACAAAAAATAAACGGGAGCCTTTCACGTAACATCACCGATCCATCATCTGCTTCTGTTTCTTCTTTACACAATGTGTGCAAGATCAGCACCTGTCGTCTTCTGCTCACGCTACCGTTAGATGGATCATCATCATCTTAACTCGGCTTCAATTTCCACATACGCAGCATGAGGAATGAGGTTACTTTGTGTTTGAACGAGCGAGGCGAAGAGATTGTATTCGACTGGACTTCCTCTCTTTCTTTCATTATTCTTTTGGGCCTTCTAATATTTGTTACGATGACATACATATGTCTTGTAAACATAGTTTGAATTTCGCTTGAACATTTCGTTCACTTAAGGCAGATATTTGCTAGGATAACGACACGTCGCTGTCTAACGCGATCTGCCAACCGAGAGTTCTGTTCTACTTATAGAGGATATGTCATTTCTCTGTTGCTTTGACTAGAGTTACTGCGGTCATAAGTACAAGGAGGTTGAGATTGCAAAAGAACACACATAAATTCAAGCCAGAAAGTTTATATTGACCTTTCGAAAATGTTAATTTCCTTCTTATAACATTGAAATCTTCTTTCGAGACAAGCAATCCAAAAATCGGAAAAAACATTAATGATACTGTCAAAATACAACTACATACAGGTTACAAGTTAAAATTAGGACACTACATTTATGGAAAAACTACGTTATATGTCTCTCTCTGTCTCTCTATCTATCTCTCTATCTCTGTCTCTCTATCTATCTCTCTATCTCTGTCTCTCTATCTATCTCTCTATCTCTGTCTCTTTATCTATCCCTCTATCTCTGTCTCTCTATCTATCTCTCTATCTATCTCTCTATCTGTCTCTCTCTCTATCTATCTCTCTATCTCTGTCTCTCTATCTATCTGTCTTTCTCTGTCTCTCTATCTATCTCTCTATCTCTGTCTCTCTATCTATCTCTCTATCTCTGTCTCTCTATGTATCTCTCTATCTCTGTCTCTCTATCTATCTCTCTGTCTCTCTATCTATCTCTCTATCTCTGTCTCTCTATCTATCTCTCTATCTCTGTCTCTCTATCTATCTTTCTATCTCTTTATCTATCCCTCTATCTCTGTCTCTCTATCTATCTCTCTATCTCTGTCTCTCTATCTATCTGTCTTTCTCTGTCTCTCTATCTATCTCTCTATCTCTCTCTCTATCTCTGTCTCTCTATCTATCTCTCTATCTCTGCCTCTTTATCTATCCCTCTATCTCTGTCTCTCTATCTATCTATCTCTCTATCTCTGTCTCTCTATCTATCTGTCTTTCTCTGTCTCTCTATCTATCTCTCTATCTCTGTCTCTCTATCTATCTCTCTATCTCTGTATCTCTATCTATCTCTCTATCTCTGTCTCTTTATCTATCCCTCTATCTCTGTCTCTCTATCTATCTCGCTATCTCTGTCTCTCTATCTATCTGTCTTTCTCTGTCTCTCTATCTATCTCTCTATCTCTGTCTCTCTATCTATCTCTCTGTCTCCCTATGTATCTCTCTATCTGCGTCTCTCTATCTATCTCTCTATCTCTGTCTCTCTATGTAACTCTCTATCTCTGTCTTTCTATCTATCTCTCTATCTCTGTCTCTCTATCTATCTCTCTGTCTCTGTCTCTCTATCTATCTCTCTGTCTCTGTCGCTCTATATATCTCTCTGTCTCTGTCTCTCTATCTATCTCCCAGTCTCTGTCTCTCTCTCTGTCTGTCGCTCTATCTATCTCTCTGTCTCTCTATCTATCTCCCTGTCTCTGTCTCTCTATCTATCTCTCTGTCTCTCTCTCTCTTTCGCTATATCTTCTGTCTCTATCTTTCTTTCTCTCACGTGCTCTCTCTCTCTCTCTTTCTTCTTCACTTCAGTAAGCGCTTTAATCACAAAGATGGTCTTCTTCAGTACAGTGATTATACTTTTTCATTTGCTCTAGCTTCAAGTACATTGACTGATAAAAAACTAGTTAGTTTTCCAGAAAGGCCAAATAACAATACTTTAACTAAAATGATACTTTTCATAAATATTGCAAATGAGTGTATAAATTTTTCAAAAATGTTGCTCAATATGATATGATATGGGCCCTCAGTTGTTTTGTCTTATTGACGATGTGCTAGAGACATTGCTGTAGTATCACGGATTCTTCGATGTTTGAGAACAATTTACGACATGTAGCTCCTCAATAGCTCCACATGCGCAGAACATTCTTAAATGATCAATGATGACGATGATAGTGTCGTTGATGGTCTTATAGACTTGCTGTTGAGCACTCGGGAAATATTAACGTCGCTTTCCCAATAACTGAATTTTTTACTTTTGGGAAAATTTAAGGAGCTAGATATCGAGACTATAAAACACAGGCACTGATCAGCTTCAGGAAATGCATTACGCCGGAGCAACTTATGCATGTAATAAATGCGGAAAAGCAATTGACTGCCTCTTTATCACACATGTGATGAATACACCAGCATAAAAGTGATTACCGATCTCTATTCACAAATTTTTTACAAACTTGATACACTTCATTTGAACTACTGATGAAAAATGTAATTTAGTTGGTAGATTGCTAAATTTGCTCAATTGGCTGTTTGTCACTTCCATACTGATGTTTGATTTCTGACTGACTTTACGGGCAAGTTTTTCTAGCAGTTTGTCGCTCATTGTATTAGCCATTTTTTTAGCTACACACAGTTTTGTTTTAAGGAAAGCTGTAAACAAAAACTTTTATTTTTCAAAATAGCTTTGATCTTATTTTGTGTAGTATTTTTGCACCTTTTATGATCAACGTATAAACTACGAACATCGATCGAATTCTCACGTATTTCCTACATTGTTAATTATTAGACTTGAATTCCCAATTTCGGGTGTCTGAAGAAGCATGACAAAATGTGAGTAAGCTAGAAAACGTACACACATGGTGAATGTTGTTGCATTTTAGGTTTGTTATCAAGCCCTGGAGGGAATACCGGAATTACACATAACCCTGTATAATTATCTTGAAGGATGTACGAAAGGCATCTTGACAAATAACAGAATGCAATTTGTTTAAATGGTCATACGGAAGAAAGAGTAAAAGGAGGAATGTTGATACATCCGTCGAGACGGCAGGCGACGTTCAATTAGTCCTGAGAGCGCCGGGACGCCGACGCATATTGAGAAGTACGCTCCGGCGTCAAATGTGCGGTGGAATGCAGCGGAAAACGACTTTGTGTACGGGGCGTCTCAAATTCAATCGTCAGGTTAACTCTGAAAGTCAGTTTTATAGACCTCGCTTGAGGCTTGAGTAGAGTTTGAAGAAAGACATCTGATTGGAAACAATGAAACAATTGCGGTTTCTTGAGGAACCTTCAAGGGAGGACTTAACATTTGCGTTTCACAGAGGCGGTAACCACCTGTCAGCACAAGCTGTCATCGATGTCAGGAAGAAGTTTCTTTGTTGGCCGTATTTATTTAGCATTTTGATGATAAATTTGAGATGGTTTGGTTTTTTGTGCTAAATGTTACTAAATCCGGAATAGGTGTTTGCTATCATGATTTTATAGCAAATATCGAATCCACAGTAAGCGAATTATTCGACAATATCAAGCAAAGGTAAATAGAACGCTTTTCTGACAGCTAGGGAAGTATCGGTAGTCTCTATGAATGAATTTTTATAAAATCCGTTTTTTTATCGGTATAGTGGACCGCTGCGACCCAACATTTTATAGAGGCTAATTGTTTTTCATAAATAGCGCATGGTATGCATATTTGCTATTGTTATTTCCATAGATGTTACAAAATCGTTCTACACTGCCACGGAAAATTAATCGGACAAACAGAATTTTGTTCAAATTAAATTTTAAATAACTTTTTAACCTCCTCATCAATTTCGTTTTTCGTTATTTTTTTCGTCAAGTTTTAGGTAATTACATTTTCATCAATTATCGACTGTCGATATTGCAAAAAAACTGAAAATGTTTGTTGTTATACAGGGTGTAACTAAAAGGTGCATTTTGTCCTAAACTTCTGAACACCCTTGTGCTTTGCCGGGAAGAAATTGTTTCAAGTAGGCTGTGTCTGTTAGCATTTTTATGGCTTGTCAAAAGGATTCTTGTCAAGCAATACTCAACAAAAATGAGACCGGAACAAGTAGCGCAAGCTATAGATTTACAAGATGATGGTCGTCCTATTCGGTATATCGAAGAAAGGCTTGCCGTTCCACGCAGTACGACAATCGATGCGAGACAAAGATTTAGAGACACTGGTGCTTACTCAAGAATACCTGGACAGGGAAGACGGAAAGCAACAAACGCAGTTGAAGATCGGTTTCTGAGACTTCAAGCTCATCGAGAAAGGACAGTTCCTGCTACAGCTTTGACTCGGAGTTTGGATGATGTTCATGATACCATAGTTTCACCTCATAGCGTACGCCGAAGGTTGAGAGAAGGAAACCTATCATCTTGTGCACCTGCTACAGATCCTCTATTGGATGTGGGTCATCGAAGGTATCGCTTGGTATTTTCTCGAACTCTTGCAGATTGGGATATGGACGACTGGAAAAACACCCTGTATAACAACAAACCTTTTCAGTTTTTTGCAAAATTGCCAGTCAGTAATGATGACATTGAAATTACCTACAAATTGACGAAAGAATCAACGAAATTGTTGCAAAGGTTAAAAGGTTATTTCAAATTTAATTTGAACAAGATTTTGCTTGTTTGGTTAATTTTGAGTGGCAGTGTAATTACCTTGGTTTGACATTGTCCCATACTTTTGCTGTTTGTCCTTTTGGGTGTATTTGTCTCATCGATTTTTGCAATTTCCTCCCGAGCATGGTTTTTTTTTATATTTATAAGAGAATATGTTCTCTTATTTTCAATAATCCCTTCAATTTATCTGATATTTCAACCAGAGACATCTTGTCATCTTCGATAATTTTCTTTTCTTTTAGAGTCGCACACTATAAGCCATTCAGTCGATTGAAATTTGGCGTTATAAAATGTTTTTATTTCAAAACGTGCTCAAAAACCATTAGAGTAGTTTGATGCAGTACTGGAAAACATTACTAAATTATTAATGAAATGCAAACGCATGGTTTAGTAACATTTAGCACAAAGAAATCATGCCGTTAGCAAAGAAATATCTTTCTGACATTGATGGCAGCCTTTGATGATGTGTTACAGCCTACTGTGAAATGTAAATGTATATATCCTCCCTTGAACGTTCCTCAATTAAGGGTTATTGTTTCATTGTTCCCATAGAGAGATCTTTC